CCTTCTGGTTAGCAGGCAAATGCCTTAGGCACTACACCGTCAGAGCTCCCTAGATAAATAAAAATTTTAAAACTCATGGGACAAAAAATAAGCAATGAACAAGCTAAACAGAAAAAAAAACCTGTATTTTAATATATTATGCAAATGTCAAAAAATAATTCTTTAAATATAATAAAAATATTAATAATTCTGTGTCTAAAATACCCTATTATATCAACAATTTCACATTTTACACTGGAAGAAAGAGCCAAACAATACTATTTCATTCTTATTGTTGCTAACAAGAGGGACATGGCTCAATTTTTTTTTTTTTTTTTTAGCTATAAGAGTAAAACCACCAGGGGAATAAAAATAAGATGTCTAACTTCTAAATAACTCAAATAAAAAACACCTAATGATTTAAGAAAATGTTCAGGAGACAATAGCAAATGCAAAATAGTAAGTGGAAAAATCAGTATACAAAATTGTGAACATATTATTCAACCTTCAGAATACGAACTTATAATAATAATTCAATGAACTATTTGAAAAGGTAATGGTTGACTATGTCTGATTGCACACTATTGTGTTTTCTAAGTTCTTTACAATGAGCATTATTACTTTTATAATCAGAAAAATTAACATAAACATAGAAATAAAAGTATCTCACCTTTCAGAACTCAATTAACAATAACCTCAACTATACATAACCCACTACAAAATACTAAGCAAAATAGATTCTGAGGTGCCAAAATACATGTCATAAAGTCCATGTATAAAGACGTGGATACTGTGGCTATGAAAAGAGATCCTCATACCTTCTTTTACACATATCTTAATTCCAACAAACTTGGTTATCTGCTATTCCAGTAGTATTAGGAATGTAAGACACACTGACAACAATGTAAACTGACAGCCCTTGGCCTAATAGCAGGAAAAATGACAAAAATTAAAATAAAAAAACAGACAAAGACACTCAAAAAGCAGCCCAGGAGCAATATAGCAGAAACACCCTTAAGCAACTCAATATACCTCTGTAAAGTATGATAACAGATATTCACTACCACTCAGAATTAAAGCATGTTCAAAAGAGTACAGACTGGTTGGCTGAAGAAGTCAGAAAAGTTCCTAATGCCTTTTGGGGAGGAGGAGATCATAAATGTTAAAAATTAAGAGTTAGAATGCTTGAATAGAATATCCTAATCTACAGCAACTCATTCTGTGAGTTCCACATAGCTGAAGCCTTACTATGTTGAAAAGGGATTTATGGTTGGCTACGTCAACCAATACAAATCTGGAGAACAATCTCGAAAGAAATGATTAATGACTGTTTCTTTCAAGGAAGTTTAAAAAATAAGTAACCATAGGCCTAATCAGAATCAGTGCTAACACAGCAATAGCTACTAAATGCAGCCAGGTTCTGGATGTTTTTGGCTTAAATCCATATTCCCAGCAGGATTTAGGTATCATGTAGGTAGTTGGGACCTGTCAGCTTTCAGGGTAAAGCCAGCAGGCCCCATCCCATCCCACTGAATCAATTATGAACCAAGAAAAATTTTTCTACCTTCTTCATACTTGCCTCTTTTGCTTCTGCCTTCAAAACTGGGGCTAGTAAGACAGGGAAGAAACTGATTATGTTTATATCTGTGGAACTAAGATTACACAAACTGCCAGCACTCCATTGTTTTTGTTTTCAGTGTGGTTATCACAAAACAAAAACAAAAAGAAAGCTGCTACCTCTGCAGCCTGATTATTTGACAACATACCTGAATATTTCTTCCTTTTTCAATAAAGCAGAAGATACCCTTCATTGTGTTTATCTAGAAGGTACTTATTTGCTGATACAGGATTAGTTACTATTTCTACATGAGAGCTTGACAGAGTCTATCTAAGGAAGCTGTTTCCTGAGCTACTCTAGAAGCTTCTCTTTGATTTGACATTAGCCACAATTCCAAGGAAACGCACGCACTGCCATGGAGTCTGATCCGACTCATAGCGACCCCGCCTTGGGTTTCTGAGGCAGTATCACTACGGAAATAGATTGCCCAACCTTCCGAGGAGTGGTTGAATTCCAAGAAAGAGTTCTTTAATTCCCCATCCTCCATATCCCCAGGACTAATAAGAAAAAAACATAATCCCAACCACAGTTAGTGGCCCTCTAGCACTCTGACCTTCAGAGCTTCTGTCTTTTGTTTTTCATTTAAATAACCTTACAAGGTTCCCCCCTCATTATGAAAGTAATACATAATCACTGTCACAATTCAAGCAGAAGATACACGAAATAAAAATTAATAATCTCTCCCCCCCTTACACCCTCTCACAGCCCTCCCAAGGATACCAATGTTAACAGGTTGGTGTATAATTTTACTACTTCTTCCTAAACTTACACAAACATACATATGCAGGGATTTTTGTTTTGTTTTGTTTCCAAACAAAAAATAAGATATTATGTATACTAATATGCACCTTGCTTTCTTTATAGTCCTAAAAACATGTCAGGGACACTTTCCAGATTTATAAGAATATATCACATTCTTTTTAATGACTGCAAAGTATTCCATAATATGGATGTTCCATAATACACTCAACCACCCCCTCATTCTTTTCCAACTCACAGACATGTAAGATAGATCCTGTACTTTAATTTCAGTAACATGGATTCCTAGAGGGGGGATTTCTCAGTCAAATGACACATTTTCAAATGTTTAAAATTGATCTTTACACAAAATTAATTAATAAACTTTCAGAAATTCTGTTGCCTTCTTCATTATGTAAAAGGGTGGCATAAACCTTTCACAATACTTTGCATATTTTATTTTTTTAAAGCACACATTATGTAAAAAAAAAAAAAAAAAAACTCCCCTGTCATTTATGCCCATGCAGTTATAAATAAATAAATGCTTAAGTTATGGCTGTGATGGCCAGTTAAATCACTGTGCAAATGCTTATGCCTTGGTTTATGAAAGTAGTAATTCATTGTGGAAACTCCACCCCACGGCCATGTGGCAGCAGTAAAGCAGCTCTTACATCCTGTATGTGACTCCCTCACACTGTGTGACTATATAGAGATGGGGACCTACATATTTTCTGTCAACAATTAACTAAAAGAAGATGAGATGAGTAAAAAGCAATAGCTGATAAATTGATGGTCATTTGGGTTTCTAATATCCACACATTATTTGTAACACAATGAATAATTCTGCTGGTCTATACTAGAGACTGTTTTCCATACAAATTAAACCTATAACCAATAAGTTGCTATTATTTCATGAACCTTTCAAAAACATTGTCTTCAAATATTTCCCAAGAGAATCACTGGTTGGATCCCACTTTACATTTTTTCCATCTGAGATTCAGACTCTAATTGCAAACTTATATTTTAAAAAAGCCTTAAAGAAATATAGTGACCAAAGAATCTCTTTAAAATTTAACCTCAGACCTCTCCTAATATTCTAAAGACCTTAGGACCACCAGAGATTGTTAAGACACAGCAAGTTTGATACAGAAGTATGTGACATGCAATTAATCTCCATTCATACCCTGCTCTACTTGTCAGCAAACAAAGGTTCTGCTTTAGAAGGGGATCTGAAGACTTCAATTAAAAACAGTCAGCTAACAAGAAAATAATCTAAGTTAAAGGAAGGTGGCAGGTGCAGAAATGAGTTGTTTACCAAAGTGTCAGTTTTGAACAATAAAGGACTGCACATCAAAAATGTCGAAGGAGTGAGTTTCACTGCAAGCTTCTGAAAATAAAAAGGAGTTTCTACTAAGGCTGCACACAAAACTGAAGTACAATTTAACAAGCTTGTAAAATAGGTTTCCTTTCATCAAATGACAGATATCAGAAAAAAAGAATCGCTTTATATCTTTAAATGCAAGGGCAAAATTAAATTGCTTGCCACAGTTCCTTCTGTCATGGAAACCAAAAAGACACACAAGCCCACTCTCACAAGGCTAACACTGAACCAGCAGCCAACTCAACAGTAGAGGAAAAGGCGGAATTGCTTCTTCTTAGAAACACAGATTACTACTTTTTACCTTGCAAATCGCTTTCTATTCCTAAATTTTAGACTCACTCAGTTCATAATTAAAACAGATTTTGGAAACCTCACCTCAAAAGAAATATCTAGTTGACATTTTTTACATAGACGCAATCCAGAACGGAAACAGTGCTACAAGCAAAGACCAAAAAACTTACCAAATATTTGATTAGGAGGAATTTACATCAAAATAATAAGGTAATGGAGATACAAAACCAATTAAATTGAGAGAAACTGAAAAAACAGTGCTTGGCAAAAGTATGACCTGCCCAAAGCAAGCCATCTGTTAAATATGTGTCAAATACATCACTTAGATGCCAAAAGGCTTAATTCTAAATGGTTTCCTCCTGAGGTCAGGAACGCAAAAACAGGTAAAAATTACTTTCACCATGAAAAGTGTGACCTGAGAAAATGCTTGTGCCCAGTAGTGAAGTTTCTTTAGAGTGTTGAAAGGTTGTGTCCAGTGTTAGTGAGTATGATCTCAATTTTTTACAAAGATTGCTTAGACACTATAGTTTGAAAATGAACACACCACAATGGGACACCTCTAGAAAAGGAAGAAATGTAATACTGAGAATAAGCTAGCTCTGGGTTCAGTAATGAGACCCCCAGAAATCTGCAGGCTGATAAAATGAGGCCTGGGTTTAAGCTCTGACAAAAACTCATACTGACCCAGGCCTTGACCAAAAGAGGATCACCTCCAGCAGTCCCTCACAGACCCTCAGGACCCGTAAGCAGGAAAGTGAGGATCCTCTGTGGAAATGGACCAAGGGAAAGGGATGCTAATGTGGTGGAAGAAAAACTGGTTTTGGAGGTTGAAGATTCTAGAAGCCTTGAGTGTTCTAGAAGGAGGTGACGGAGCTGAGAAAAAAACCTGGCCGTGGGAGCCTGTGGTGTCTCTTTTCCTCCCCTCAGCTCAGCACTTGAGAGGCTTTCCAGAGGGGTTGAAGGAGCAGGCCAGGGGCTGGGCCAGGGCATTACCTTCCAGGAGCCAACGGATCTCCTCAGGGAGAGTGACGGTGGCCTGCATTTGGCTGGGACGGTAGGGGGCCGGAGTGTGACGCGGGAGAGGGGCGTGAAGGCCTGCTCCAAAGGCCGGAGGGCCGGACGACGAGGGGCAGCGCCGCGGAGCCACCTGTATCTCCGCCGTCGGCGCCAGCCGCTGCTGCCCCGCCAAGCCGCAGGGCGGGGCCGCGGTCCCCGAGCGCGTTCAGGAAGTGGCGCGCGCGGTGGGTCGGGGGCGCGCTCCGTGGAGCTCGAGGCCAGGGGCGCAGCCTGAGGTTGGCGGTGGGGCGTGCCGGTGCGCGGAGCCCGGGGCACTCACGCCGGCGGCCATAAGGCGGGCAGATGGAGAGGGTGGAGGGGCAGGAGGGCTGCCCCACGCAAGGCGAAAGGGCTTTTCCCCATGCCCTTTCCCTAACCAAAGACTTCACAGAATTCTAAGGAACCACGTCTCTTTGGCACTTTCCGTTCTAAACACTGAACAGTTAGTTGGCCTAAAGGCTTGGAAGCCACAGTCATACTTGAAATGGCAGGCAGGCAGGCAGAACCCAAGAAAAAGGTAAGTCTGAGACAAGAAGGATCATTTTGATCCTGTCCACACTAACTGTGCCCAGAAAATGAGGGCAGAGACTCTAAGAGAAGCACAAGAGTTAAAGTCAGCAAAGGTGAAAAATATTACATACAATCCTGCAGTAACAGTATAAACCATAATCTCCGAATAGGAGCTCTGGTAGTGTAGTGCCTAAGGCACTTGACTGCTAACCAGAAGGCTGGCAGTTCAAACCCACCAGCCGCTCCTCAGAAGGAAGGTTGGGCAATCTACTTCCCTAGTGATACTGCCTCAGAAACCCAAGGAGGGGTGGCTATGAGTCGGGTCCCACTGGACACATAACAACAACAGCAACAACTGAGCTGGTACATAGGCATGCAAGCCCAACAGGTGAAGGAAGACAAGTGCGATTGCACCCCTGAATATATATAGGTTTGACAGAGGATATTTATACATAGTTTTTATATGTGCTACAAAAATATCCATGAATATAATAGAGCATACAGGTGGTAAAGTTATGAAAACTTCTTAGCCATACCGAACACCCTGAAGTAATGAATCCATGAGCCGAGCCAGGGCCATAGTCTCTGGGGACCCAAAGACAATATTCTACATCCTACTTTGGTGAGGAGCCACTGGGGTCTTAAAAGCTTACAAGTGTTCATTTAAAGTGCAACTATTGGCTTCTCCCTGTCTGAAGCAAAGAAGACTGAAGAAAACCAAAGATGCATGGAAACAATTAGTCCAAAGAACTAGTGGACCACTCAAACCTCAGCCCGCACAACTCTGAGACCAGAAGAACTAGGTGGTGCTCAGCAACCACAACCAACTGCTCTGAACAGAATCACAATAAAAGTTCCTGGATAGAGTGAGAGAAAATATATGAAACCACTCAAAATCATTTAAAAAACAGACCAAAATCATTTTAAAAAAAAGACCAGACTTACTGGTCAGATAGACTGGTGGCATCCCCCGAGGCGATGGCCCTTAGTCACCCTTCAAGCCTGGAACTGAACACACTCCCATGGCTCAACTTTCAGCCAAACAATAGACAGGCCTATAAAGTGAACGGGACCTCTGGTAGCATAGTGCCTAAGGCACTTGACTGCTAACCAGAAGGCTGACAGTTCAAACCCACCAGCCACTCCTCGGAAGGAAGGTTGGGCAATCTACTTCTGTAATGATACCACCTCAGAAACCAAAGGAGGAGTCGCTATAAGTCAGGGCCGACTTGACGGCGCATAACAACAGCAACAACATAAGGTATAAGGTGAACAATAACACTAGGGAGGTATGTACCCTTTAGAACAATCAACAATACCCATCGAAAGGGCAGCATTTGCCCAAAGAGAAAGCTCAGAAGACAGGAAGGGATAGGAAAGAAGGATGAATGGAAACAGGAAACATGAGAAAGAAGTGGGAAGATTGCTGTGACATTGTGGGATGGCAACCAATGTCATGAAACAAATTGTGTCTGAACGGTTACATGAAAAATTAAGTTGCTCTGCAAACTTTCACCCAAATCACAATAAAAAGTTTTAAAAAAGAAACCAAGGGCAGAACATTCTCTATCTCAGGTAAACCTGGATGTTTGAAGGGCGTGATTGTCGAGTCCCAATAAATAATATAAAGCTACTAACATTTGGGAGAGTTGGAGCAGAAGCAGCAGCAATGGGCACAGACAGACAAAGCGCCTCTTCCTCCCTAAAGTGAAAAGGATGTGAAGAAAGGAAGGGGGCAGCCTGGTGGGGAAGCTGGGAGAGAGGGATGCGGAGCCCTTTCTCTCTAAGAGCTGACAATAGGAGGAGAGTGAACGAAGATAAGGACAAGATCACAGAGGACAGTTCTCTCTTCCTCACTCAGTACACAGGCGTCACTGTCCTGGTTCTGATACCATGCTGTAGTGCTCCAAGATGTTTAGTTAAGAGTGAACAGGATCTCTCTGCATTATTTCTTACAACTGCATGTGAATCTACAATTACCTCAAAGAGTTTGCTTTTTCAAAAAGTACACCACAATAGGCCAAGTGTCATGAAAAAGGTATAAAACACCATGGGAGGAAGATGGATATAAGGAAAGGAGCTAAGTCTGGTGTATGTGTGTTTAGTGGTGCATGTGGCATTTGAGATGGGCTCTGAACAACACACTAAAATTTGAAGGATCAGGAGGGCTTGGAAGGACCAGAGAAAACAAAGTCAGAAAAGCCCTCGACTACTTGAGGAACAGCTAGTAGCCCTCTTTTAATGGAATGGTGTAGGGGAACTACAGCTGTCCAGCAGGGGCAGATTACTGAGTACTCTGTCCCTATCGTTGTTGTTGTTGTTATGTGCCATCGAGTCGGACCCGACTCATAGCAACCCCTCCTTGGGTTTCTGAGGCAGTATCACTGTGGAAGTAGATTGCCCCATCTTCCTTCCGAGGAGTGGCTGGTGGGTTTGAACCACCAGCCTGCTGGTTAGCAATCAAGTGCCTTAAGTATTACGCTACCAGAGGTCCTATCAGGGATTGTAAATTTGAAAAGAGGCTTTGATTCCGTAGAAAGGTGCTGTGGAGTTGAAAGACAGATGGCAAGCCATGTTTACAAGCAGAATCTTTGATGTGGTGATAAACTGTGAAATTGTTCACTATAGATTGGTAAGTAAGCATAAGTAAGTCCATGCTCACCTTGCTTATTAGTTTATCCAACACTGCTGTCAAGAAAAACTGAAGCTTTATTGTGAAGGTGGCATAGTGCCTAAGGTATTTGATTGCTAACCAGAAAGTTGGTGGTTCAAACCTACTAAACACTCCACAGAAGGAAAATGAGGCAATCTACTTCCACAAAGATTCACTGCCTTGGAAACCCGATGGGAGTCACTATGAGTCAGAATTGACTCGATGATGATGGTTTGGTTTGGTGTCTGTACCACCACAACTGTTTTTTTGTTTTAAACCGAAAACTTAACTAAAACAAACAAACAAAGCCCCTCCTACATGTAACTCTAGCACTTTGCCTTGCTTTCCTGCTACAGAATGGAAGAAATGTTAACAACCCCCTCCTTCTTCAAAGATAATTGTATCACATGCTAATATAAACTACAAGCTGATGAGTTGTTTGATAAGGAGCAGTAAGCCCAGGTAATTGCGCATCTTTCTTCGCATGGCTTGTCTATACTGAGGAAAACATCAGAAACTCACTGCATAGGTATTCTACCTCCACTCTTCCTCACCGAAATCTCTGGGTTTTAGATAGGTGTGGGGAGAGGGAGGTGTAGGGTTGGATAGTATGTGGTAGGTGACTGGCAGATTCCAATACGGTATTGTCATGTTGCATCAAGTTTCCTCATTGCAGACAGAAACCTGCCTCCACACATGAGCGCAGCCCCTCCTTAATCATCTGAGGGCCCTGGTTCAGCAGTCAGCCTCACTCCTAATGACATTCTGTTAAATGGACAAATTCCTTTGAAGCCTTGTCCTTCTTTGAAATCCAATTTCGCAGGAAGCCAAATCTGATTGGAGGTAGCCATGGAAACCACACCAAGGAGTCTTAGAGGAGGTGGAGAGAGGCAAGGCAAACCGTGATAGTCAAGAGTCCTTTACTTCTCTGTTGGAAATATCAAAGGGATCTGGAGAGGTTGGCAGCAGACGAGTCCCTGCCCGGGTCCTGTTCTGTGTGGCTGGGTACCATGTGGCTGTCATGGAAGTAAGCAGCCAGCTGTCTCCGCACACAGGCAGGGGGATGGAGCAGAATACACAAATCCCAGGTCTGTCTGCTTCCCTCTTCCTCCCCTCCCCCCAGCCCCAATTCCAGCAAGATCTTAGCATCCCCTTCTTAGCTGCCCGCCCCTTAAAGGCAAACAACAAAAGAATGACAAGGTTAAAATGCAAGGCCCTTACTGATAAGAGGTCCTTTGGAGCAGAGGCTAAGAAATTAATCTGAAATTCCTTGTAATTAGATAAGATAAGGGTATTTAAAGAGATGCAGAGCAGTCAGGAATGGAGTCCAGCAGCCTAACATGCAGAAAATATACCCGCTTGTCACTGGGGCCCCTAACACACTGTCAGCAAACAGAAGACACAGAAAACAAGGCCCATGCCGGCCGCTAGGCTGCTAGGGGAGGCTGTCTATATGTTCTCATGCCAGGTGGGCACTCACTAAATATGCATCCATGGGGTGTCCAGAGGGCTCAATCAGGAAGAACAAAAGCATCTGGCACCCAGAATGGCGTGGAATGGGGACAAATGCAAGCAAAGCAGGTGCCGACTGGTACTGCTCCACCCTGGGTGAAATGGGTCTGGAGAGAAGACTGCGGAGGGCAGGCTCTCGGGCTTTATTCCGAGCTGGTTATTGATCCCTGGACACTAGGTCATGACACACAGAGGAGCTGACGCCTGCCCTGTGGATGTGCGGCCGCTGCATCTCAGCCTCTCGGTCCCAACCCCATCAACCAGGTTTATTGACTCTTTTATTGACAATGCTGAGGCCTAATGAGAATAAG